AGAGCGTGTGGGTGTAGTTTTAAAAAAAAGTATGCTGTGCTTTTCTTTCCCTTACTTTCTTTCTGACAATAGGGAGACACGCCCTAAAAAACCCCAACTAACAGCACCACCAAAAAGAGATGAAGGCAGGGAAACCATCCCCAGACCCAGGCGCCTGCGGGGCCACCAGCTGGAGGCTGGCCCTGGGAGGTGGGAGGGGGTCATGCACCACTGGCCACCGCGTTCTTCCTGAAGGTCTGGGTGATAACGCTCTTCAGACTGTTTGCTCCGTCTTTTTTTAAAAATAACTTCTTTGGTGGGTGGAAAGGAAATGACCAAACTTACACTTGGAGCCTGATGACATGGCAGCATCCTCCTAAAAATAGGGGTCTGCTTTTGTTTCTTGCAAATGAAGTGTTTCCTATCCCCCAACCAGGCGAGGGGAGAGCCGAGAGAATCTGTGAGCTGACTCGGAAACCAGGGAACTGCCTCAGACAGGCCCCGGCCCTCCCACTCCTGTTAGAGATGCTTACACGGCAATATGCTGGTGAAAGTGACAGAACGATGCTAGAAAAAGATGCCAAAGGACCCGTGCACAGAAAGAAACCTGCTAAATCTATTTATCTTCAAACTGGAAGCCTTTGCCCTAAAACAAAATCACTTTAGAAAACAGATAAGACTTAACATGCATGGCCTGTGCCCCAGCGCAGGGGTCTGAGGGGCTGGTGTCTCTTCTAGTCTCTCGTATTAATCTGAATGTTACCCAGGAGGCAGGTCCTCTGGGTCTCTGAGCCCCTATCTGAACCATGGAGGAGATGCTCCCTCTCCTTCCCCCGGCTCTGTGGGTCCCCAGGACAAAGTTTTTTAAATTAAAGAAATGAACCAGGCTTCTTAGACATAAAATTCAGAGAGAAGTTCAGAGACAAGAACAGAGGTTCTGAAACCCTCCAGGGTGGCAGCAGCTTTGGCAGAGCTGACTTCACATCAGAGAATGGTCCCAATGCCAGGCTCGGTCAGCTTGGAAAAAGAAACCACATCGGTCAAATGCAAATGCGTGGGCACAACTACACAAAAGCACAGCTGGAAAAGGACCCGACTGGCAATGCAGCTGGAGCAAAAGTCCTCCTCAGCCCAAGTCCTTGGATCAACATGGACTCTCCACAGCTGGAGGGAACAGCAAGGTCCCCCACTCACCTGTGTAGAAGCTGGAATTATTATTATTCTCTTGCTCGAAGATGCTCTTGGTCTGCGAGTCGAATCGGAGCCATAGTCCGATGGCAAGGACCGCGATCCCGGCAAGCTGCAAGACACACAGGACATCGGCGTGAGCCTGGCTGTCAGGAACAGCGCGGTGCCCTATCTCAGGTGAGCTGCCCTTGGCCTCTGCCCCTCACCGGGCACCTGGAAGTAGCAGCAGCCAGGTGGGGGTGGGAGCAGGGGATCGAGCCATTTGCTAAAAATACCAGCCAGTTGGGAATAAACAATTATCTACCAGCAGTACGGGGATGGATACCTCGTGGACAACAGAATGTTACACAGCCGTGAAAATGAACCAGCCACAGTTTGTGCAATACTACGAGGGCATCTCACGATGTTAATCAGAAGAAGCAAAAAGCACCGAACATGTACAATTCCATACAGTTAAAAACTCTTGTTTAGGAGGGCATGTATATCATAACAGAAAAAGAAGGAAGTGATGATCATAAAGTCGAGTGAGTGGTGGCCTGTAGGGAGGGCGGGGTTTCTGATGAGGGAACAGCAGGGGG